CACACACACACACGGACGCGGGGCGAGTGATCAGCCTAGTGTCTGGCCTGCTTAAATCACAGCTCACTTAGGAAAAAAACACATCACCTCACTGGGAGGCGCGCACACACACACTCACACACACACACACACACACACACACACACACACACAGATCTTTGCAGGTCCCATTTGTGTTAATGTGGCCCCCTGGTTTTGGGCTTCAGGGCTCATATTTGCCATTATGGAGATGATGGCTTTACGGGGGCCTCTCACCTCACCTTGCTTGGTTGGGAGGGGGGGGGGGGGGGGTAGAGGGAGAGAGGGGGGAGTGGAAATGAAGGCTGACACCTGGTGGGATTTATTTGATTGTGGATGCGAGGCGGTGTCACTCTGGAGAGGGGGAGGCGGCGGGGGGGGGGGGTGAGACGGAGAGGAGGAGGCCCGAGGGCTAAGTGAAAAGAAGGAGCAGGGAAGGAAAGAGGAAGAGACTGCGGGCCGGAGGGAGGGGGGGCAGAAGCCCTCTTTCCCTTTTCCGTGAATCAAATCAAATTCCCCTTATCGCACATTATTTGAAGAGGTTATCGGGCGCGGTAATGCGGTTACACGCCGGGCCGCGGCTGAGAGATTTCCTTGTTTACTGATGTTGGCGGGTGTTATAGCTAACCGGCCGGACAAGTGGCGAGGCGAAGGGGAGGGGACAGGGGGAGGGGGAGGGGGAGAGGGGAGGAAAGAGGCATAAACACTTGATGCATGTAGGAGAACCACATAGAGGGAATGTACGTGTGTGTGTGTGTGTGTGTGTGTGTGTGTGTGTGTGTGTGTGTGTGTGTGTGTGTGTGTGTGTGTGTGTGTGCATTTTGGCACAAAGAAGTAGAAGACAACCGTTCAAGGACAGAAAAACAGCCTCTACATGTAGACACTTTGTAATTTCATTTGGGAAATATGTGTGTGTGTGTGTGTGTTTGTGCACCCCCCCAACACACTGTACATGTGCCAACTAATAAATCTGGCCCTCCTCTTTCCAGACTCTTATTGTTACGCTTAAATCCAGTTTACATGCCCAGTGCTCATTAGCTGATTGTGTGTATAATTTACAAGTGAATTCGATCCGTTACAGCAGACTTTAGAAGCTGGAATTCCTTCTAAATGTTACCTTGCGTCTTTCAAATGTAAAGCACAAGTTGCTGCAACACAATATGTTATCGCTAGCCGGGACACACAAGTGTTTTTTGGGGGGTGTCAGGAAGCCCCGAGAGGCGATAGTGAAGGGATGACACGCAGTACAGGCCATTAACGGGGATTTTGGACCCACAGCGTTGTTAGCGCACGGTTCGCCTCTTAGCCCGTTGAGCCACGAGGACACCCCAAATGTTTGTTATCTGTGGCCCCATTGAGAGGCAGGAGAGGCTGACATCCCTGTCACCTATGGGGGGACGGGGGGACGGGGGGGGGGGGTGGCTTTTTACCTCTGCCCATTGTAGTCTGCTATCTAGCATCTATGATTCGCACTTCATCTGGACCTCAAGCTACACATGAGAGAGACTGAGAGATAAAAGGCTTGTGTGCGCAGCAGAGGAGATAAAGTTTTTAAAAAAAAGGATGTTTCAAGTGTCTTGAACTCCTGACTATTGATAGTTAACACATTGTCCTCAGCTAAATCCATTTATTTTATAAATAATCAGGGCACTGAGAAGGAACAGGGAGTGAGAAAAGCAGCCTGCAAGGTGATAAAGGAAGGGAAGGAAGGAAGGAAGGATGGAAGGGCAAAAGTCAAACAGGGAGGGACGGGTCCTCTTTGCTCTCCACTCTTCCGTGTGATGTAGCTTCCTCCGCCTCACCATCTGGTGTCTATAATTACCTGCGTGTGTGTGTGTGTGTGTGTGTGTGACTCATCATTATTTCATTAGTAAAGAACTTTAACACGTTAAGTGTGGGCTGTCTTATTATTTTTTAAATGTTTTGATGATTATTATTTAATGCTGACTTATTTACACACAGCACATCGAATCCTTTACTCGCTTTACTTAGTTTAATACTTGAAGGAGGGGACATTAAAAAACCCACTGGTGTTAACAGCAGAGGATGAGCGAGTGACTTGTTGCAGGGAGATGCGTGATTGTCCCACGCTGCTCATAACATGAGATGAAAGAGGATTTAGGGACTAAATGGGTGGAGGTCCACCGCGCCAGCGCCGCATCGGCGAGGAAATAAATCACGACTGAGGATCCCAAAAGTCAGCCGGATACGCTTCCTACCAGCCGGGTGACGGGCTGTTCTGTGACACGGACAAAAAGCGGGGATTAAGGGGACGAGGTGGGGGGGTAAATGGGGTGCAGTGAGGACAGGAGGAGAAAAGGAAACACAAGGTGTGAAGCTAAAGTGGGCGAGGAATGGAGTGAGGTAGGAAGACAGGCGGACAGGGAGGGATGAGAGGGGAAGTCGGAAGATGACACGATCCATCTTGGCACATTGGGGTGTGGAGGAGGGAGGAGGAAAGGAGTGTGGGGGACGGGAGGGGGGGGGGTGACGATCAAGCCTGCACTCCATCATGGCTGTCAGAGAGACGGGCACCTCCTCTCCGCTCTCCTCCTTCCACGCATCCATCCGTCCTCCGAGCCTTCTCTCCGTCGCTCGCTGAAGAATCGCGACACTAAAAAGTCCTGTCAGGCCTATTTCCTTGTTATTGTCCGCCCCCGCTCCCCCCCCCCTCCCCCACCCTCCCCCCTACCTCTCCCCTCCCCTGACTCAGATGCCTTCCCTCTGCGTCCCTGAGATTAAACGCACCCATGTTGCGCCGCGGGGTGTGTGTGTGTGTGTGTTTGAGCTGTGAGGTCCAAAGCAGGACATGCAGGAGCCTCTTGGTGTGTGTGTGTGTGTGTGTGTGTGTGTGTGTGTGTGTGTTGCCCGACATTAATCATCTTTAAGGCGCTGACAAGTCGTTGTGTGCGACATCACATCAACACCCCCCCCTCTTCTCCTTCTTCGTCTCCTCCTCTGGATTTATCTGTCTGTACATCGCCTCTCCCCGTCACTCACTCCCCTCACCACGAGAAGGGGAACATAGGGGGAGAAAAGGGGAGACGGGCGGAGGGTGAGAGTGACACGAAAAAGGGCGAGGGAACAGCGACGGAAGTCAGGTCCTGAGATTTGACAACATCGCCTAATACGCTGAGACCATAACCACGACATCTGGATTGGCGGCGGGTTTTTTTAATCAGTGTCCGCATTGAACGGCTCAATTCCAATCCAACTTTTCCTCACGATTGTTGACATTCTGTGTTCACACGCTTCCTTTTCCATAGTTGTTTTTGATAATAACACAAATAAAAGTCAGAACATTCCACAATTCAAAGGACAAACAGCACATTTAAATGCAAAAAAAAACTAAAAAGGGTAGATTCACGCTGTGCAAAATAATTTACTTTTAGGATTTCTTTACATTACAGAAGCCCAAGCGTTTATGTGCGTCTGTGTGTGTCTGTGTGTGTTTTGTCCGTGGAATAGAAAGAGCCCCATCAGCTGCAGACAGGGATTGGATCCCTCTTTGTTTGCTGTGGCGGTTTCAGCATGACTCAAATTATCTTGTCAAAGCAATAAAGGGTAGAAGGTTGGGGAAAATGAGGGAGGAACGAGGGGGGGAAAGAGGCAAGCAACATGAGGGGACGGAGAAAGTGATGGGCCACAGAAGACGAAAAGATGGAAAGAAATGAAGGGGGGGGGGGAACAATGAAATAATCAGAGAGGAGATGAGGGATAGGAGAGAGGAGGCGAAAGAAATGAAACCGATAAATGGATGGTAGCGGGCAGAAAATTAGAAATGGATAAGGCTGGGGAGAGAGAGAGGGGGGGAGAGAGGGGGGGGGGCACGGGGAGGTAAAGGTGTGGGGAAGGATAAAGGCAGAGGGAGGCATGGAGGGTAATCGATTACCTATTTTTCAAAGTCGCTTAACATGTCCGGTGCTGTGGCTCTGCTGCGTAGCGGTGCGGGAGGATGGGAGGCCGGTATGCACACGCACGCTCTGACAAAGGGGGGAGGGTGTGTGTGTGCGTGTGTGTGTGCGTGTGTTCCTCGTTGATGAGTTCTCTTGCAGGAAGCTGTTCTGACACACCAATATATAAGCGAGGAGTACGTGTCGCCAGAGGCCTGCACGTGTGTGTGTGTGTGTGTGTGTGTGTTTACATAGGAGAGAGTGGACGAAGACAAGACGGGGTAGGGAGTCCCCCGCCTGGTCCTCCCGTTGCCGTGGGGACAAGCAGTCTAAACGGGATATCCTGGCTGAGGCGGAGCCTATTGTTCTCTAGACTAAAAAAAAGCCAGTTTGATTGGCTGAATACAGCAAATCAGGAAGTGTCGTCCGACATGAAGCACCGAGACGCGTTCAATAGACGATATTTTTAACCGGCTCAAATGCACTCAAAGGCAAACTTGAGAAAGTTGGGTGTTTACTACGCACATGTGAACACAAAGGCACAGAGACGACGACCTGCCAAAAGAGCTAAGCCTGCACTTTCCCCGATGCACACAATGCAAACACACACACACACACACACACAGGTGGGCCCCCGCCCTGTGCCCCCCCCCCGATCAAGGACAATGAAGTGAGGTAGTGTTGGCAGACTCCATACAGCATTATCTCATCCCCGGCTGACCCTCCTTTAATCGGCTTCGACCTGAGGGGACACGCTGGAGACTGCGCACCACTCTATTCCCCCGTTCCGATTATGTGTAAAAGCAGAATTAGGGCGCACGTGCACTTTGTGCGCGTGTGGTTCAGAGAGCACAAACCTGTTTAAGGCTCGACCGAAAACACAATCCTTCTTTGAGTGGTTCATCTCGGTCAATCCAAGGGTGAACTATGCAGAGTGTACACCGCACGCCGGGTACTTTGTCGCAGACATCTGCTTTGTCTTTGTGGAATAAGACGGACAGACACATCGTATTTATGTGCTATGACGAAATCTGTCCTGTGCACATGCTGATGTTCCTCCTTTTGTCCTGCTTCCCGTCTTGTCTCCAGGTAAAAAGAAGATGTCCATGTATGATAGCCAGGCTCCGATCTGTCCCATCTGCCAGGTGCTGCTGAGGCCCGGAGAGCTTCAGGAACACATGGAGACGGAGATAGAGAGGCTAACCGCTGCATGCTTCAGGTACGTCTGAAACACACACACACAATCATGTCTGGCACAGCGCCTGGTCTCCGGATACCCACAGGGGTCTGCTGGGTGAAGGTCCAGTATTTGTTTGTTGTCACCAAGCGTCGACCGGCTCCCTTTTCTCCGCGTTTTCCAGTCCTTCTGCGAAGCGAACCATGAACACGCACCTCAGCACATTGTCACCGCGCACCCGGCGAAACCAAACTGATGTCGATCCCCAAGACAAATACTTGCCTCGTAAGGATGCGTATTTTTTTTAGGCCGAGGTCGGAGGCTGAGCTCTAACTCAGCTGTCGCGTCGGGCCCACTGACCGTCTTTCTGCCTTAGCCGAGAGGCCGCTGCCGTAAATCTGCATAAAAGGCAGCGGCACGCCGTCGACGTAACGCTAAGTGTTTCCCGCGGGGATCAGGGTTCAGACCTGTGACCTCAGGTTCGCCGCTGCCGCCCCTCTCCCCGCTTCTCTTTGTGACAGGTGCGCAAGCTGTTTTACGGCGGATAAATCAACTCCAAGCCCTTTTAACGATGGGACACAACCATTAGGACCCATATTTCACCTTGACCGCACATCTGGCTCCGTGTGTGTGTTTGTGTACACACAGATTGTGTGTGTCTCTGTGTGTGACCCGGCATCCACCTTCGCGGCCCAGCTTTATGATAGTCCCCATTAACCTGGAGGAACGGGGCGACAGATAGCGTCACCCCACATATAAAATCACACTTCATTTACCCCCCGTTTACACCTGCCTCACCCCCCCCCCCCCCCCCCCCCCCCCCATTTCTTTTTTCCCTTGGGCCCTTTTTCCTTGTTCGACCCCTTGATCCCCCCTCCGTCACCTTCCATTCTTCTTTCTCCTCCTCACAGCTTCGCCATGTTCTCCCCCCTGACTCCGTCTTTCACTCCGCCCCCTTCTGACCCGATCCCGTCATTTCTTTATCGCCTCATTTGGAAGAGTTTGGAGCGCCTCAAATCAGACCAAGAGCAGCGACCCGGGCTAAGATCTAATGATCTATATATGATATGAAACATGTGGGTGAAACCTCCTCGGTCAGCCCACCAAAACACTGCATCCCTGCTGTAAAGGGGTTAGCAGGAGGGAAGCAGGGCAGCAAAATTAGAGAACATTTTATTAGAGACAGACACCTACAGAACCGTGTATTCTGAAAAACAAAGAGACAAATCTCGGCCGATAGAGCTCGCTAACTTGTCCCTGATTAAGCCGACTGAGAACATAACACAATAGAATAGATCACATTGGAGAGCTGTGAGGGTCATTCATCCATCCTTGTCCTCTGATACGGTGAGGTGTGTGTGTGTGTGTGTGTTTCAATAATTAATAAAGGTTAGTAGTCTGCCCTTCCCTCTGTGGGACTGAGATCCTGTGTGAGCACAAACACTCACACACACACACACACACACATGCGGTTATTTAAGGAAATAGCGTCATCCCGGGTGGGATGATGGGATGGTGGCTAACGTCACGGCTGGCTGATTTAGCTACTCACCATTAACCTGTCCGACACGTGCGCGCGCACACACACACACACATGCAGAGAGTAGAGAGGGGGGAGGGAACAAGGATGCAAAAGATCAAATTTGAAGATACTTTGATGCAGATGTTCCTTTCACTTTGTGTGCCTGTCAAACGGAATGGATGCAAGGCATAGAATAAAAGTGTGTGTGTGTGTGTGTGTGTGTGTGTGTGTGTGTGTGTGTTATTTTGCTCGCTCTCCCTCTCCGCGGCTCTCTGCATGGTAGCAGCCATCATTGAAAGTGACAGCGGGAATTTGGTCCAATTTGTAGTAAATCTGCCTTTAATGACGGCTCGGCGCTCGCCGAATGAAAGTGCCGCGGGGAAGGAAAGCCAGGGGCGCGTGCGCGCGCTGGAGCACATGTTTGCATGTTCCAAACGTGTCGGCGCGGTCGGCGCCTCATCTGCCAACATCTGCTCGTCTGGGCCGTTTCTATTTGTTTTGCTGTATTTGCCTCCTCCGCCCTCGTCGGGCGTTTGATTGCGACCGCCGCCCCGTCCTCTCTGGTGACTGTGGGCTCCGCCGCGTGTTCACGGGCCACGGCTCCTCGCGCACCGCCACGGAAATCACACACACACACACTCACGCACAGTTGAGCAAATGGTAATCTATCATGCCCCGTAAACGTCAGGTGGCTCTTGGGGGCAAAGTAATCTACATACCCTCCCTCCTGTACGTAACCCTTCCCAGCTTCCTCGTCCTCATCTTCCTCCTCCTCCTCCATAATCAATTTGCCTCCACTAGAGCAAGTGACCCCCCCCACCCCTCCAGCAGACGACACCAAAAGGCAAAAAGCAATCAGCATCTCGAGGCAAGCGCCATCCCTCCATTCCTCCTTCCATCCACCCAAGTCCCCCTGAAAAAGGACTTATTCATCTCCCTCTCTCTCTCTCTCTCTCTCTCTCTCTCTCTCCCTTAGGTGGGAGGGGCCGAGCCCTCTGCTAGCTGTCAGTCAAACTCAGCCTGTCGCTGCTTGTGTAGGATTGATGCAGGTTTAACACGGGTTTGGCGAGGGTGGGCGTATAGTGACTTAATGGAATTTGCGCCCAGTTTACTGACCAGCCGTCACAACCGTTTCAGGCTTCAGGGTTACTTTTCCTTTGGTTACTTTTCCTTTGGTTACTTTTCCTTTGGTTGTTCTTTACAACCATTTTTCTTGCAGTTGCAATTGTCAAAAAAGGGTTATTTGACTGTTGATTTCACATGTATCAGTTTTCAAATGAGCAGAAAGAACTACAGTTTGGTTTGTCCTTCCTGGGCTCCCGTAGAAACGCACATCGTAGGTTCAGGTGATTGCGCACTAAATGCTGCTCGCTGCGTGGCGACTTCCTGTTGCAGGTCTCGCTCTTCTTGCCCTGCGTGCCGTGGGGGAATATACGTATGTTGTAAACTTCGATTGTAGGCCCCCTCATGCCCCCCCCCCCCCCTCCCCCCTTTGTTCACGTGCAGGCCTCATTATTACAGCACCTCTTAAATTGCTTTGTCTCCCGTCTCGTCTCCCTTCCTTTTTTCCTCCCGTCTGCGTCTTCTGTGTGTTTGTTTCGCTTTGCTGTGCCGCTCATTTCCACACTCTTTCCCCCGTCGCTTTGACATGGCAGGCAGCAGCCCTGGTTAATCCCCCCCCCCTCCCCCTCCACCCCCTCTTTCTCTTTTTGCCATCAAAAATTCATAGAACCGGGCAAACAGACGTGTTGGAGCTGCGAGAAGAGGCGGGCGACACACCAACTCTCCCGTCAATCCCTCTCTTTCTCTCCCTCGTTTTCCTGTCTCCCTTCATCTTTCGCAGGCTCCATCTCTCTCTTTACGTCGCTCGCTCTCCCTCTCTCGCCTTACATTTCATCTCCTTCAACCCTCCCCCCCCCCACCCCTCCCAGCCCCCGCTCCCCTATTGCTCACTCCCTTTCATCTCTCTATCACCCACCCTGTCACCGTGGCAATTTTCTCCCATCGTGGCAGACGTGCAACTGCTGTCCTCTCTCCCGCTCTCTCTTCCCTCCCCCTCCTCCCCCCTCCCTGGTCGCGGTTTGACACTGTCAACAAGCAGGTGGAGTTGGCTGTTATTGTGATGCCTCTGCAGAGGTTCCAGGTAATGAATAAAAGTGAGATGGAGAGAGAGAATGAGAGCGGGGGGGGGGGGGGGGGGGGCCGGTGTGGGGGTTTTGCAGGTTCCCTCCGTTCATACAACAAACTTGATTGTGTCACCCGTGTTATTTCTCTTGATCGTAGAGGCGAGGCCTGCTGGTCGACACACACACACACACACACACACAGTTGTATACAGACGCAAACACACATCCACGGGCACGAGACACAAAAGCAGCAACGACACATTTTCATAGACATTCAATACATTCACACACGGGCTACACGTGCACACTCTCACAAGCGCTAGCCACTCACCCCAGTTCAAAAAGATCATATGGGCTAATGAAGTAAAATAACACAGCAAAGTAAAAGTTAAATGCCAAATTTATGAAAGAAATATGTATGTTGAAATGTTTGGGGAGACTCACTTGAGCTCAGAAGTGGGGACATTTATTTATTTGGGGATATTAGCTGGAGATACCAGCTCACCTGGGAGGTAAAACCAGGAAGGAAACTTTCCATTTTAAAAGTGAAGCCATTGCATAAGTGGACATGTTTGTGTTGTTTTATTTAAAAAGAAGACTACTTGTATAGAAGCTTATGAGAAAATGTCTCTACTTGTCTCTCTTGATCTATTCCCTCAGTGACTTTTGTAAACATCAATCTCTAGTTTCAAGTCTTCAACACAGTATAATGTCCATTTAGTACATTTAGAGTCAAACAGACCACAAAGTAGAAAATGCCTTTTATTGGCAGGTTGTTGACACATGTCATCTATGCAGCACGTCTCACAACTTTCACAGTTAAAGTTAATTGTAACATTTCCGTTGCCTTTAGCTCCACCCTTTAGTTTCACTTCCTGTTGCAAAAAAACAAGATGGTGACTGACAGAATAATCCAGGATCCCAAATCTGCAAACCAAGGTCTTCACGTCCACTTCTTACAGGCTGTGTGTAAAAACCCATTGCAATGTTCTCGCATGACTAAACAATGCGTCCGTCCTTCACACTGCTGTTTAGTAGTTCTTCACGAATAGTCAACTGACCTTGATTTGTGAAATCAGCGGAGTGGACTTTAAATACATGGACCAAGACACTCTTCTGCTTCTGTATCCCCATCCATCCCTCCCCCAAAGCTATGCACTACCTTCCTCCCTGTCTCGTACGTAGGCCTCGCTCCTGTGCCACTAAGTTCTTCTCCAGATAAGCGACCTGCAACTAGGGCTTCTAATTCTCATAATCCACCCATCCGGCCATTGGAAAGGAAACCCCTCGTCTACCACGGCATGCTGTCAGATTAGCGGTCACGCTGGATCCCGCGTCCGAGGGGTCTGGAGCGCTAACAGGGTCTCAAAGCAAACATGACAAGCGCGTCTCGCTGTGTCAACCCGCCGAGGCCGAGGGAAGCTCGGAGGCATGTGTCCCCGCATTCGGCCCGGGGAGAGAAAGGGAGGCGGAGGGGGAAGGGAAGAAAGACAAATTCCAATCAGTCCAATTTTGATGTGGGAATAAAGTATTGAATGTTGAGTCTTCACAGAGAGGGGGTGATAGAGGGGGGGGAAAGAGAAGGGGGGGAGGCAACAAAAAAAAGTAAACTACAGATCAAGTGAGAATGAAGGATTATGGTTTGGCTTAAAGAGTAAATGTGTCTCTTTTATTGGCATAATTGTGGCCTGTTTATAACTTTTTCACTTTCCATCCTTCTACGTCTGTAGTATCACACACAGACACCTATGTGTGCCTCTCCTGGCAAGGAACATGTCTTTTTTATGCCCCCCCCCCCCCTCCTAGGCACCCTCTCTCCCCCCTTTTCCCCATAACGTTTACACGTCAAAGCGACCGCAGGCCGACTTCACGACAAATCAAATCATCGCCAGATCTCTTCTGTCCTGCTTCTGCCGCCACAACAAAGCTGGGGAAGGATTGCCCGAGCGGAGAATTCCCCGTGATGTTCTGTGTGATCCCGACATCCGCAGCAATGTTTTCAATTACCATGAAAATAGAATGGCGGGAGACGGACGGGTGAGAGGGGATAGAGGAGAGAGGAGCGAGGGAAGAAAGCGAAAGTTTTATCACATGAAAGACAGTGAAAGACCGTGATACCCCGGGATGCCCAGCTGTTTCTGGGGTTTCCATATTCACCCTGTAAAAACAATCATGAAAGATAAGTCCAGAGTCAACAGCAACGCCACTGAATTCCACTTCTGTCTTCTGTCTGTGTTGCAGTAAGAACACTTCACCCAAGGATGGAGCAGCCACTCCAGGAACCCCGGAAGGTGAGCCCAACCTCCATTGTGTTTCTCGTGGTTTGGAAACATGCTTTTTCCTTACGTGCAAAAAGAGACGGGATTCGGAATGAGACGCGTGCATTGTCAGGTTTGGCAGCACTGTGACTCTTGTGGCTGTAGCGCTTCACCGTCCATCAGAGCTGGTACTCCGATGCCTCTGTTCCTCCTCCGCCGCGCTGAGGAGAAATCGGCACAAGTACCAGTCTCCCCGCCGGTCCAGTTTGGCAGCGGAGCCACTTTAGAGGCACTGTACTGTGATTGTTTCCAATTAGAGAGGCCGACATGCAGGCGCACAAAAAACACAATCTGAACAAAAAGGACAGATAGCGGCAAATTGTGGGAAGACAACTTCTTGATGCCATCAAGAGATTCCCTCATGGCGCCTGCAGCCATTGACTCATCTGACCACGTCAGCAGCCGCCCAACCAAGACGGTTGTGAACATAATGTCTAGATAGTGGATTTAAAGCCGCAGTTGGTGACTTCAATAAAAATAGCTTTTTTAGGGCGTAGTTGCTCAAACCGTCAGTACATCCTGACAGTTGTGGGGACAGATAACATGTGAAAACATCTGGTTCCTCCACAGCCTCCCCTTAGTGCTCCTAATGACATTTTCAAGATTCCACCACGCCCAGAAGGGAAAGAGTCTCTCCACGCAGCTGCCGATCATCAAATATGATCCGAGAATGTGTTTTTGCTTTACTGCTTATTTGTTTTCGTACCATTTAGCTGAAAAATGTTAAATTTGTGCTACATGTTGTTACCTAGAAATGTGTCCCCCCCCCCAAGCTCTATCACTGATAATAGCATCACTGTCACACAACGTTGGACGAGGGGACTTAGGGGGGGGGTCGCTTGAACAGCGCATGTAGCTCTACTCTCTACTCTCTACACTCTAATCTTTATTAGTAGCAAGAAGGGTCAATGTTTCCCGAAAGTTCCCCCAAAAAGCAATCAGGCGCCTCATTGTTTTTATTTCCAACCAAAGAGCATGTGAAAGTCAGACGGCCTTCTGCGGAGAAGCCACAGCCGACGTGCGCATGCATGCGACACGGGAGCTCTAAAGCAATTCAGGGTGTCCACTTTCATTCCCACACACCTTTGAGCGCCGACCCCGGCTTAGGGGGCCGCCACTCACAGCGGCGCGGGTGGGCTCGCGCTGGAGAACGGCAGGTGAGAGCTGCATGGCCTCCCCCTCCCCGGCCGTGACTGCGCATCTCACCGCCGGGGCTTAGCATTCAGCGCCGGGCCGTGGAAAGAGGGGGGGGGGAGGGGGTCCTCGCCCAGCTGAAGGGAAAAACACGGATACTACACGTGGACACGTTAAGGCAAAGACTTTTGCGTGTCAGTATTTTACTGCTGAAATTCAGAAAGAGGCACTTTATTGCGGTTATGTGAGTCTTCCCCATGAGGTCGCTCCCCCCCAATGTGGCTTTCGGTGCAGCTGCTCTCTTCACATGTTGATTAAATTAGTTATTTTTAAAAGACCGAGAAATTTAAATTGAAGATTTATAAGCTCTTTGTTGAACACCGTTAAATGTCATATTCTAATGATAAACCCCCCCCTCCGGGCCCATGATTCCTGACCTTTTTAAACCTGGGCAAAAGAGAAGAAGAAAAAAAATGACGACACACACACACACTCATAAAAGGCATAAAAACATCATGCATAATGTCCAATTTACTGTGGCAGCGCTGGAGGTTGGTCATTTCTCACATATTATTATTAGATTACTGCTGTCGAGCACTTAAGCCTCTGCTCTGCCCCTTTCCGCTTGATTAATAGGAGACGACTGTAAATACAAATATTTCATAGCTGCCTTGTAAAAAATAATAGATAAAGCAGCAACACAGTCACACACGGGAATACAAGCAAACACACACACACACACACACAACGACAGCTCTGTCAGGGCTAAGCCTTGTAAAGAAACATTAAAGAAAGGTGATACTGCTCCCGGTTCTCTTTCATTCCCATCATTTTCTCCTCTGTTCACTTGAGGAATTCCCTGGATTGTCTTTGTCACTGAGTGGGTTAGAAGAGGATATTGTTTTATGTGTGTGTGTGTCTGAGAGAGACAAACAGCGTGTCTATGGCCGATTTTATGGACAGGCGCCGTCCCGTAATGTCAGACAGTTATGCTCCCTCCTCTTCACATGTTTACCCTTCCTCCTCCTCCTCTTCTCCCCTTTCGTTTCAATCAGTCGCTCTCCCCTCACTCCTCTCATCGTCCCATAAACATTAACTCCAATCAGTGGAAGGGCCTTTATAGACAAAGTCAGGCAGGTTACCGTCATCATGGATGACATGGCGCTCGCCTCTAGAAATAAAATGATTGTGCTGCAAGATCAAACATTCCACGTTGGTTATGCGTTTTGCTCTCACTGCTCTCTCACTCGTCATGTGACGTTCAAAATGCTGACACTTTGAATTCCCCCCGATACCTCGATCAGAGATGACATTGAAGTGAACGCTTTGACCTCGTTGGATGCTTTGCAGTTAAACGTATCGATCTCAGCGTCGAACGGAAGCTCGGGCCTCGCCGCCGTCGCCCCCCCCAGCTGTTCTCCTTCCATCCGGATTTGTTTTTGAAACAGCGGGACTCTTGTCTTGTCCGCATTCATTTGAACTGTCAAGCGAGGACGGGTTCTGCTGATAATATAACAAGATCATCTGCATATAGAAGACATTTTACTCCTCTGTCTCCCTCCCTCTCTCTCTCTCCCTCTCCAGTCGATGCTGTTGTCGGTGCACATCAAGCGTGAGGGAGAGTCTCCCGTGGTGTCGCCACTGTCCTCCGAAGACGCCCACCACTCCGACAGATACCAGGTCGCACTCTCATACACACCCACACACACACACACATCTGGTTTGACACCATTCTGGCCTGTTTGTCCCCCATGTCCATCTACAGCGTTGGTCGGATCATGTTCTAAAGTTGGGTGAATTCCATGGTGCTGACAGATGCATAACAGTGGAGCAGCGGAGGCTCATTGTGGGTTTCTTTTGTTTTTTACGGCCTCTCAGCAGTTCCGTTGACCAGCAGGCCAATGCGCTTAAATCTCAGATGTCCTCAGCTGCTTTTATCTCTTAAATTCATCAAAGTTTGTTCGGGTAATTCTTCTGGCCGTGATGTACCGTATCTCCGGGTTAAGTGGGTGTCCCACCCTTACACCATAAAATACAAACTATTAAGTCCACACAGGCGTTACATCCATACGTTCAGGATGACACAGCTCATAAAGAGCATATAGGGATAAAGTAGATTTTCTCATTAAGTGAAACTGCTGAAATCACCTTATATTATACAAATGATAAAGTCAATGGTGACTGTTTCTACCCGCTGACGGAGGACTCCACCGCCTCCTCCCGTGCCCCGTCCTCCTCCCCTCTCAACCTCCTCCCTTCCTCTCAAAAACCTGACCTTCGCGCGGCCATGCAGTGAGTGTGTCGTGATGATACTGTAGCAGTGGCCACGCGAGCCAAGTGGGCCGATAACTCAAGTGGCGGCGGCCCGGGGATGGACGGAGGAAAGGTGGGGGGGGGAAAGGAGGCCTCAAATGGGAGGAGAAGGCCCGACTCTCGCTGATGGACGACGGGCCGACAGTGAGAGGGGCCGCCGCCCACTCACCGTTGCCGTGTCAACGAGAGGGCATCCATAACTGCGCCCGGGGATGCTTTGGTCAGCACATAGCTAAAGATGCTGCGGCCTCGGGGGTTTGAAGACCAGTAGTCCGTCGGCGAACACTCGGCAAGAGTGGATGTGACCTCGCTTCATTTATTTCTCACTTCTTCACTTTGAGTGATTAGAGCGTTATTCTAAATGATATAATGGAATTCACTCCAGGCATCCTGAACAGCCCAAGACCCGAATGTTCCTCCTTCATTAGAAAGGTTCCTCGGTCATTAGATTAATGTAGAGTTTAAGTGTTGCCAGTGGTGGAAAGTAACGCACTACATTTCATCAAGTATTTGTTCAATTTTGAGGGGCCTTTGCACAGTACTTTACTAAAATGTAGCCTAGCTTACAAATGTTCCGTAAAAAACACATGATAATAACAGCTTTGTTCAACCGGTGGCTCTCATTCTAGTGACCAATTTAACAAAAGATTACAGAATAATCTAAAATATGAACTCTAGTTTGTGTCACAAACATGCACATCTTTCCTGCTTAATCAATTTCTTGCAGCCCCACCGGTTTATCTTGTGACCCTGTGAAGGGAAGCAGTGGGTTATTTTGTAACTGTATCATTATGAAGTTTAGTTACATTTTGATGATAAAACATGCTTATTTTACTCACGTAGGATATTGAATGCAGTGCTTTTCCTTGTCATTGAGCATTATCTCCAGTATTGTGTTGCTATCTTTACTCAGATAATTGATTACTTCTTCCACCACATACATTTGCATGTGAAGAATTCATATTTGATATTGCTGAAGACACAAAATATAATAAATAGCTGCAGACACCACTAGAAACCAAGATATGCCACAACCCCCAACAAAAGAAAGCGTGTTTTCATGCACTTTTCATAGCATGTATACTTTCTGACTAGCGGAGAACCAAATATCAAATGCACATTAAGATTTTTAGTTTCTGGATCTCTCCAAATTTACCAAAAGTTAGCTTTAAATAATGCTGTATTTGAAAATCATGTAATTCAACGAAATAAAGCAGTTTAACATAGTTCACAGTTTAACAGTTTATCAACCGAGGAAATTTCAGGTTGATGCATATTGGTTATTTTGAGCTTGTCACTTGTAATAAAAATCTAATTTTACAATAAATGGGTAAAATAAAATAAAAATGTCTCATATTCTCATATTCAAACTTGATATATTTATCATAAGTAATTGACCGTTCTTGGTTGTTTTGACCCTATTCACTTGTAATGTCTCCTCTGAAGATGTTCACACTAAATAATCCAACTTAATAAACATCCCTGACGTGTTTTTATTTTTTATTATTTTTAAATATTTCCTGTAAGCAGCTGTTTGGTGGAGCGGTACAATATCTGCGCATCTTGTGTGGTCCGAAGGTGTCGCTCCACCGTCCAATCAAACCCTCTGCTTCCCTCTAGCGGTTGACACCCGCAACGACACGCGCGGGTTCTCCCACTTCCGCCTTAAGGGCGTCACGTGATCACAACAAGCCAACATGGCGTCGGACACGAGCAATGTCTGCCGATACGAGCGCCACTTTCAATCCTTTCCCATCCGCGGTACAAAATAGACGCAGACTTCAGTTTGTGGCGATGCGCAGCGTGTGTGGACGCAGGCGGGTGGTTTCCAGCAGAGAGTTTGTGGCGGCTGTAGAATGAGGCGTGAGTGAAGCCCGACAGACATGGAGGATGAGGAAAACAATAGAGAAGTAGGTCTTGTTTACAGTGCCCCAACCTCAGCATCCACAGCAATCCCAAGCCAAAAAGTTGTGTTTGTCATCATGAACATGTCGTGTGGTTGGTTTAGTATCTAATGTGTGTTTCCTCCTTCTTTTTTCCTCCCCCCCTTCCTTCTGCTTGCAGACATTTTTACGAGTTCGGGCGAACAGGCAAACGAGATTGAATGGTATGTAAACGCGCCTCATCTCCTGAGTGCTTATTAATACGCATTATGTGTCGTCATATAAAGTTTACTCAGGAAGGTTTTTCATTTAAAACGTTTTTTTTAGATGAAAATATACATATTTATTTGGAGAAAATAAGTAACGAAGTAAGGAAAAAAATGATTGGAAAATATATTTTATTCTTCAGCATATTCAGGTATTTAAGTGGTTGAACTTGGCAGAAAGGTTCCATAAATTTGATTTATAATGACTCCTACAATGAAAAGAAATTGATCATCACTTTTAAATACAACATGATATCACTAGTGTCAAGATATAAATGACTTGTTTCATCCAGATGGATAGACAGCCTCATATAGTTTATTTTTGGGGAAATGTGAATTCTTAGCCTTTGAACTTTATAACATCATGTTAGGAACAAACTGGGACTAAACCGAGCGATGAGGATTCGTAATCCACAAACAGCGGCGAACGTGGGCAGCACTTCCTGTGTCCTGTAACGACACAATAACGCCGGTCGAACAGTAAAAGGATCAGTGGCTGCGTTGAACACCAGAAGTTAGTTAAGTTAGTTAACATTATATATCAGCGCATGCCGAAGCTGAGGCGGCGCCGTCAGCGCCCGTGACGAGAGGCTTAAACTTCGGCCTCCATCTCACTCCAACAGCGGGTGGGGGTGAGCGACCCAATCAGCATCGCTTTCTCATCTCTATTTAACGACGCTCCCCTTGATTAGCATCAGGGGAGAATTGGCGAAGAGGAGGAGGAGGAGGAGGAGGATGAGGCTGTTCTTCTCCTCAACCCTCCCGGACCGACTCCCGTGTGTCCTCTCCCACCGTCATGGTCTCCCCCTTCCCTTCCCTGGCTGGCTGAAAAGGAACGTCCCTCGGCGCCAGAGACTCGGGCCGCAGTGACCCCTGTTCTCATCTGTTAAATTCCAAATGAAATGTGTGACAGGAGGGCAGGGGACAAACCGGGGGAGAGGCACAGCGTGGATGTCGAGTGTAGGAACGGGATCAACACCGTTACGTCCGCCGCTTGTCGCTTCTTTGTCACCTTCCATGTAATCATGCTGGCCCACAACAATGGTGCTTTGAACTAAAAACGTGTCCGTCCGTCTCCCTTCTTCTGCCCCCCTGCAGCCCGTATAGGAAAGATGAAGAGGAGGAAGCCTGAGGATGGGGGCCAGGTATGTCCGCTGTGCAGCGCCCCACTGGCTGGGAGCGAGGAGGAGATGAGTAGACATGTGGAACAATGCCTGATCCAGGTAGTACACCCCCGGGCCTCTGAAACACCGCCGGTCGGACTGCCTGTCAACCTTTCTCTTCCTGTAGTCACTGACCAGTCACCTCTTAACGCCCCCCCTCCTCTGTAGAACAGTCAGTAGCTCCTGTAGATGTTGACCACCTCTTAAGACACTTCACATGGGGATCAACGCAGCGTCGATCCCCTCAGCCACCACTGAGCTGAACCGAACCAGAAGTATGCGGTCCGCCCCGCGTGACGTGGTCGCGTTCCGAGCATAACCGCCCCACCTTTTGGCCCCCAGAGCCGAGGGGCCGGTTCCTCTCTGGGGGTCGTAGTACCCGACCCGGTCGCCGGTCGTCCCTCCCAGTAGACGCTTCTTTCCGTCCTAGAGTAGAATCATCCCCACTAACGGCCACCGCCCCCTCTGTCTCCCCCCACTCACTGCTGTCCGTCAGAGACACTAACCCCTCCTCCCCCCCAGCACGCTGTGCCGTCCCATCCCACACCAGCTGTGTTTTTGTTGCTTTGTAGCGTGTTGCACCCAACCAGGGCCTGAAGCTACTATCCTCTTGTTCTGATTAGCGATAAAATGGATAGAAGCTTCTCACTTTTACTTTAAATTATACAGACCTCCTTCTGTAGCTTTGAGGTGAACCGATTTTTGGTCTTTAGCCAAATAACTGACAACCTGTATACAAGCCTTCTTCCTCAGCTGTTCACTTAGTAACAAACAAACCTAATAAAGTAAATAAGTCAAAGGAAATATCATTTTAGTCTTTAGAATTTAAAATGTATTTGTTATTACAAATTCTAAATAAATAAATAAAGACACAGGTACAGTCTGCTGTGGATTATGGAGGTAGAATCTCCAGAAACAAGAAGGTGCTGCCATAAGGTGACCGTCGCCTTCCATTAGAATGTTTAGATGCTTTTTCTTTGTATAAAAGTGTACGTTTTATACAACCTGTAAATCTTTATTTCATTGAAATATATGGACTGCAGAGCTACTTCTGCAAGGAGAGACAACTGACAAGAAGTGTTTAAGGGTTCATTTAAGTTGTGCATTTCTTTTAAATTGGCTTTTTGGTGCAAGTAGCGAAAGAACCAAGAAATGGGCATTATGTACCGGCCTCCCGTCTCCAAGTCCAGACGTAGGCGATAAACACGACGCGTGTAGGATGGTAAAGCATTACTGCCGTATGTGCACACCTTCCTCTCTGAGCGTGTCCTCTCTGCCGACGCCGCTGGGTCACCGGTGGTCACGGTTTGGGGAACGCGTGCTGTGGGGGTCCGGCCTGTCGTCCTCTGCACCACTATTCTGCCCTGAAAGCCTTTGTGGCGTTTCCTCTGTGATTAACGTGTCCCCGTGTTTGTGTGTGTCAGCGCGAGGGCGCGCTAGGCGACGACGACTCCGCAGACATGGACGGAGAGAACGGCCGAGGCTTTGAGGAGTACGAGTGGGCGGGGCAGAAGCGAATCAGAGCGACGGCTCTGCTGGAGGGAGGCTTCAGAGGTACACACACACTCCTCATCTCACACACTGCGCCGGGTTTTTAGCGTCGCACCCGAAGCTCGTTAGCTGGCGGACAGAGCTGACGGGGGGCTCCGCCCGCTTCCTCCGTCTCCTCTTCCGCTCATCCATCATCTCCTCCGTCTGTCCGCCTTGAGTGAGCCTCCTCTGCACGACGTGACCGAGGGACCCCAAACGGTGCCAGCGGTCCGGCTGCGGTGTCTTGTTCACCCGGGATCGGCCCAGCTCAGCACAGCCCCCCCCCCTCACACACACACACACACACACACACTCTTAGCGAGGAGAAGGAAAACACATTTAGCTGGGCAATTGACCCGCTGGTCACCAGCGCCTGTGAGCGCGTGCGCCCAGAAATGCAATTATAGAAGTGGAGGGAGAGCTGGTCACTGGGGAGCGTGGCTGCTCTGTCCCCGTCTCTCCTCCTACTGCTCACTTTTTTTTTTTTTTTTTAAACTTGTATTATTGTGATGCTTTTATTTTTCCTTGAGCTGATCTTATTTCAGTTTCTCTAAAAATGTAATAAGAGCAAAAGTATTTTGAGGGTTATCTAGGATGCTGTGGATACCAGAGATGCTGCGGCAAAAACCTCACGCTTTAGGAAAAGTAATGGAAACATAGACGACGGAATATGGATTTCATCCTGGATCTTTTTGGATGAATCCATGCTCGCTACGCAGTAATCTGATCAACACTTATGTTCATGTGATGACTTTCAAAGTTTATTTTTTTCATCTGCTCAACGTTAAAAGGCTCCTACACGGTCCTGTCCCAAGCAGTGAGACGCACTCGCCTGCCTGCGCCCACACGTGCAACGACCAGCGCGTTTTAGCAGCTTAATATTGGGATACTTCTCCTGGGTCAGCAAACTGTTAAAAACTAGTGTTCAAATAACAACAAACCGGCTGTGCTTCGATAGATCTGCTTGTTATATTCTCAATCAATTATTATAGCAGTGAACATTTTCTCTGAGCCGACCCATGTTTTCAATTTGGTTGTTTTTTTCCAATCCGAGCCCCGAAGCCACTGTTGGATGTGATAAAGAAAAGTCCGTCTTTGTAGGAATGTCCCCTCCCGAGTCCTAACGGCGGCTCTAAACAAACCGTTGTGTTTACCTTCATGTCTGAACACACTCGGCGCACCGAGCCGCTCGGCGGGGGGTCGCGGCGGATCTCGCTGGGCTCTGCGTGTGAAGCGCAGAGGGACGCCGAGGCCGATGTGGGCCGCCGCCTCTAAAGAGGCTCTTTCAAGCGGCCTCGACTTTCATCCGCCCACCTCCTCGCTTCTCCCCCCTGTTCGATCGGTTGTTAAACACACACACGCTGAGCCTCACCTGCCTCCCCCGCTCCCCGGGAGCCGGAAGAGAGAGAGCGAGCGCGTAGACGAGACAGATCAATGTCGAAATCTCAACTAGAAGCCGGCCAGAGAGCGGCTCGTTGGGGAGCCGCCTGCCGTCCGTGCTGCCGTCTCCACGGCGCTCCGTCCATCCGCACGTCGTTAGGACGAGCAGACACGGGACCCTTCTGCCGCGCTCTAATAGGGCGCCTTGTGATGTGACACAGATAACGGAGTTGGCCTGGGGAGAGGGACATGAAACGGGACGCGCACACACACACACACACACACAGCAGAGGGCTCAGAGGGTGGATTTTGTCTTGAAAGCTCTTCAGTGGTTCTAACACTCAGCGCTGAATCCTGCAGGCTCTCGAGAGCCAGCGGCCGGCCAGAGGGATACAGAGATGTTGGGGGGGGGGTGGGGGGTCTCCTCAGCTGGCGGGATGAAGAGAAGGCCGATCCCTCTGTGAAGTGCCACCATCCTTCCCCTCCCTTTGAGAGCGTGAGGAAGAAAGGCAGAGGGAATGGGCCCCTTTTAAGGCGGGGGGAGGAAAGGAGGGAGGGGGGGGGGGGGGAAATCGAACAAGATCAGTTTATGATTCAACTCTGTGAGGAAAGACTGGCTCGTACCAGCTTAGCCGGGTTGAAAGGAGCCACAGCACAGACCGAGCTGTCCTTATCTGTCTGTCTGTCTGTCGGTCCAAGCATCTCGCTCCTACCGTTTCCTCTGCAGGGTACAAACGTCTGTAACAGGAAATGACTTCATACAAGTTTTCATGTCTCATGTCTTTTGGTGGGATGGTTGGAGTTATTTTCTTTCGTTTTTTTTGAGACCCGAGTTTTGGTACTGATTCTTTTTTAATATATTTTAGGTATTTAAACATTCTTTTGTGCTTTTTCTTTTCCTCATTTTAAAGACGTAGCCAGTTCTCACATCTAAAAAACAAGCCGCACTAGAAAAAAACGTTGCCCGTATAAAATTAGTGAGAAGCATTCCAGTCCCTCAACAAAGCAAGTGAATCAAACCCAGGGACATTATCGGTGAGAACGTCTGTGGAATGTTTCCAAAAATGTCGAGCTAGTGTCATTTTTAATCAAGTTTAAGATATTAAACTGCAGCATAAAAACAAATCCTCACATCCCTTCTCGTGTAAGCCAATAAAAATAATCATCAACTCTTGGCGAGTTCAGAGTTACTACCCATAAAAATGATCGGGCAGAACATCAACTTGGATAGAAATGTTCTTTGTAGTTCGTAGTTCTGTTTCATGTGGCTGTTTGTTTCTCGCGTGTCCAGCCCTGCTTCTCCAGCAAGCAGGCAGCAGATCCGTTGATCTGTTTGTCGGGCCACAGACAGATCTCCAGGTTTGATACCGGCCCGTCCTGAGAGGGAGGAGAAGAGGGGGATTATTGAGGGTCCAGACAGCCCAGGGAGGGATTGAGAAGAGGAGAAATCCTCGCTTTGTAAGTGGACTTCAAAGATGGCCGTCTCATGTCTTTGTGCCCATGCCACCCCCCCCCCCCCCTCGATCTCCTTCCTGACCTGTAAATGGCAGAAAGATACCGCGATGGCCTTTGACTGTCCCACCTCTCTGCTTCACGTGGGGTCCCGATAATTACCACGGCAACGGGATGCCGCTGAGGTCTGTCGATTGGTTGCCAGTCAGCCTGACGAGTTCTCTGTTCCCTGCCCGCCTCCTCGGGTCTGTGCTTGGTGGTGTCGACAGGAACGTGTAGATCTTTGCTCTCGTAAAGCTCGTAACTAGTTAGCGTGCTAAGAGTCATCGCTATCCAGGAGACCACAATCATGAGGCCCACCAGCTCGCATGCAGATGGATCACAGAGGGAGTAGAAAAGTAGGGAGACGATATGTTGAGGTTATGTGAAAGAATACCGGTAAGAAAGCAGGAGAGTGATGACACGAAAGGAGAGAAAGAAGGTGAGGAATAGATGGGAGGTGTGGGGGGAGGACGGGGAGGGGGCGTCGGTGCATAATGTGAGTGAAAGGCAGTTAGAGTGGGGCTGACCTTTCCCTGGCCAGATTAGATTGGCCTGCCAAGACTGCTTAGAGGGACAGATAGAGGCACTGGCACACACACACACATATGCTCACAGTTAAAACACCGTGGACGTGAACACAGGCGCGTGCTTATGAGCTGGAAAGCGGCGATCTTTATCCTTGAATTTGCAGTATTTATGTATTCATATATTTTCAGATTTTTGTTTTGGTTTCCAGAATTCCCAAATATTAATGTTGAACTTTGCCCACATGGAATAGTCTGAATTGGGCAAAATTGAGTTCTATATTCTCAGATTTCTAATCACATAAGGAGTAAATACAGTAACATTATTTGAGGATTCATCGAGAATGTTTCATGTAATGCAAAAATGTATTTTCATTTTATTTAGTATAGCCCAAAATTACAAATTTGCCTCAGAGGGCTTTACAGTCTGTACACATACGACATCCTCGGTCCCGAAACCCACACATCGGCACAGGAAAAACTCCCCAAAAAATGAAAACCCTTCCATGGGGAGAACGTCTCCCAGGATGGACAGACTACAATGGATGTCCTGTGTGCAGAACAATGTAAAGGATGTACAATACATTCCTATAACAGAGATGATAATTGATCAAATAATTGGGAGTAGCAAGCCAGATGTACTGCAGGGACATCCACCATCCACAGAAGCCTGTGGGGAGGGAAGCACAGACTTTAGGAAAGGAGAATGTCTGTTTATGATGACAGTAATATGATTCATATTTAAATAATTATAATGATGATAGCAGCAGCAGGTGTCAGCAGGGCCCAGGTAGGAGGCAGGAACAAGGTCCAGAAAGAACCATGGAAACCTGTAATGTAGGACGAGTTCATTTGTATCCAAATATCAATCAATTTCATGTGAAAAAGCAGCAAATCCTCCAATTCAGAAAATATCTGTCAGTTTTTAACATTTCTTCGATCTGCTTAACTGTCAACATGATGTTTAATAATTAGCATGGCGCTCCTCCATGTCCAGCTGTCTGGACACAAGATCTTCAGTTTGATCAGTTTGACTCACTCAAGTCACACCGACCGCCGCCCGGCCCGACCCCGCGGCATTGTGGGTATTATGGCTCAAGATCCCAAAGAGATCATGACAGTCAGCCAGCTCAAACTGCGACTGCATCTCACCTGTCGGCACAGCGCGTCACACACAGGACCTCTGTACCTGAACCAACACCCCCACGAGCCAACAGAGCTAAGGAGAAAGAAACGGTAGCCGAGCCGTTCTGGATTAACGCTGCGCAGCCATTGTTCCCCATATGTTCCTCCTGCCGCTGGGACCGAATAAAAGTTAAACGGCCCTTTTTATGTGATCACTATAAACCATGCGCCTGTTGTAAAAACGCCTCAGCGTTCGGGGGGCACGTTTCCTTTAATGCCGCTACTCCCTCCTCATTTCAGTCCGTTTCTCCGGTGAGAGTGAAATGAATTACGCAGTTGAGGAGGAGGAAGAAGAGAAGAAGCAGCTTTTCACAAATCCCAGAAGGTCCTCGGAGACCCCGCTGTGCACTGGGACCGACTGTTGGGGGGAGTCAAGTATCGAGGCTCACGCTCACATACGGGACGGGGTTCAATTAGATGTCAACTCTGCACGGCTTGTGTCTGGTCTCTGACACACACACACACACACACACTGAGTGCACTAGTCCAGGTGAGAGCTTGTAGAAATTGGGGTAGGTGTAAATAAGATGGCTGTCAGGCCTGTCAGTGGTAGAAACACACACTGACACAACCAGAGTCACATCTCAAGTGAAACACACACACACACACCTCCCAAGTGCTCAAATAGTAAGTAACATACACGTGAACACACATACACACCGAGCCTACCTCGACAGACGGTGCTGTTAGTGACAGGTAGACAGACCCGTGCGTGCACACACACACACACACACACACACCTTACAGGGTCTAAGTGACAGAGGGACAGACGGTCTCAAACAAACACTGAAGAGACGCCCTCTAAGTGATGGACACACACGCACGCAGCCGGCTCGCTGGCTAAGTGGAGCTGAAGGGAGCAGTCAGGCAGCGGTGAGGGTTTGTCTGAGCGTTCATCACTGGGTTTATAGAAGTGCCACTCACACACTCTCTCACACACACTCTCACACACACTCCCCCTCTCTTTCTCACCGATTGACGGCTGAGGTGTCGCTCTAAATCAGTTCACCCCCCCTCGTGTCTAAACGTCATCTCTCTCACTGCACCTTTGTCTCTCTGAACAAATGTCTCCCTTCGTCCAGAGATCTGTAATTGGTCCTGAAAGTCTGGTTTTAACGGAGCTGAATTTGAGATCTCCAAGTTTGTCTCAATCGGTGGCTGGAGGTCTTATGAGGGCTTCTTAATCTCCTTTTTCTTTTGCTGCGCTTTGTCCCGGCGGCCTACTTTTAAAAATCCATTTTACAAAGTCAAGCATCCCCCCTTGTTCTGATTCCCACAGGAACTGGGTTCGCCACGTGCAGCATCAAGGAGAGCGCGGCGGACAGCGACGTCGACCTGGACGTGGACGGAGACGACACCCTGGAGTACGGCAAGGCGCAGTACACGGAGGCCGACATCATCCCGTGCTCCGGCGCCGGGGAGGACCAGGGCGAGGCCCGGGAGAGGGAGGCGCTGCGGGGAGCCGTGCTCAAGTAGGGAGGCGCCATTCAGCCAAAGTGCCGGCAGCGGCGTGAAAACCCGTCGCTCACGGCGACCGTCTGTTTGTGTCTTGTGTTGCAGCGGTGGGATGCCCTCTAACAGAATAACGCCGGAGTTCTCCAAATGGGCCAGCGACGGTAATGACAAAGGATTTTTACAAGGATTGTCCCGTCGGCAAGAATGTCCTTTCCGTACCAGCGTTGACCCCACCTACCCCCCCTCCTTGTGTTTACAGAGATGCCTTCAACGAGCAACGGTGAAAGCAGCAAGACGGACCCCAGCACCCCTTCATCTTCCTCCTCCACCTCCTCTTCCTCCTGCGCCCCGCGCACCTGTAAAAACAGTGAGATTGAAAAGTAGGTTCCACTGACACACACACACACACACACACACAAACGAAGCTCACACACACATCCTTGTGGTAGTAAAAGGAGAAAGGCATCGTCGCAGGCATTCAGGCAGATTCCATGAGGGGCAGAAATGATGCATGTTGTGTGTGTGTGTGTGTGTGTGGGTGTGTGTGTGTGTGTGTCTCTCCGCCTATTGATTTCCTTTCTGCAGCTGTGTTCCCTGAGAGCATGAATCTGCCTCAGAATCGTTAATGGGCCGGCGTCACGGCGACAGCCTGGAACCACGTGCAGATGTTTGTTTGACGGCGGGTTACCGAGCATCTCGCTCAACCGTACACGCAGCGTTCCAGCAGTAGTTCAACTTTAGAAGAAAAGAGCTGACTAGAAGTTTGACATTGTGATGCAGTAGAACGTGCACCCCAAGAACTCTGCTTACTACATTGGGGACGGCGGCTGCTCGGGCCTGTGCGCACGTGGGAGTGGACAGAGCAAGAAAAGGCCCGGCCGCCTATAGCCGCGTTCAAACACACACACACACACACACACACACACACACACACACACACACACACACACGAGGCCTATTCATTAAAACGCCGTGTGTGTGTGTGTGTGTGTGTGTGTGTGTGTGTGTGTGTGTGTGTGTGTGTGTGTGTGTGTGTGTGTGCGTGTGTGTGTGTGTGAGAGTGAGTGAAAGGCCAGTGCTCTGTAATCCACTCATTTCCATTTCCTCATCCATATTCGGCATCAAGTAAACACTCCCGCACACACACACACACACAGCGTCCCCTGCACGGGTAATAGAGGTCAGCTCATTGCAAGAGAGTAATGTTGGTGGGCAAGCGAGCAAAGAGAAAGAGGGATTTGGTTGATTGGTTGCTTCTGCATGTCTGGCATATTCTCCTGTTCTTTGAACCCCCCCTCCATGTGATTACACTCACATACACACACACACTGAGCTGGGGTCAGTCTGTCGGTTGCCTTCCGTCCCAGACCCTATTTCTTAAAGTGATTTCCTTTGTCCACCTGAAGCGCCGTTCAGAATGCCCCCTAAACATCAGCACTCTCATTTCTTTTTTGTAACCTTTTTGTTCTTCAGTCATTCCCCGCGGAAAATTGTTAAAGGGGATAGTTTGGATTTTTTGTAGGGGGGGTCATACGGGGTTCCCGACAGCCATGCGCTGACACAAGGCCGCCGTCTGCGCTCTGAGCCACAAGGCCGAACACACCAGTGTTTTCATGCTATAAATGGTTGCAGTCGTCCGTGTGAGGTTTTTCCTCTTATTGGAAACTTTAATTCATGCCAAAAGTAATAGTTTGAATCAAAGAAGGTCCGAGATGTCTGTGTTTCAAATTCAAATTGTCTCGTGACAATGTCTGTAGCTTTACGTAAGCATTGTCCTCCCTCCCCACCCCCCTATTTATTGCCTCTAGGGAGGCTGCACGTGCTAAATGCTTAATTCCAATGAATCAATTTGTGTGTGTGTGTGTGTGTGTGTGCCCATATTAAATATCAGCAGAAAGAAAGAAGCAGGGCCAGTTGAGGTGTATCGATCAGACATGGCGGTGTGTGTGTGTGTGTGTGCTTGTTTTGTTTGTTTGTTTGCGGGGAAGCATTTGCTAAGTTGTTGTCTGCTGCGATCTTCCTTGTGTGAAGGCAGAATGTCAGCAGGTCCGTGCGGCTCAGACGTTGCTGATCGACTTCACAGTGTCGTTTTGGAGGCGCTCAGTTCAAATTGAATAATTGTGCAACCGGGCGCTATGTGTTAGCAGTGGGCGGGGCTTCAGGATCATGGAATTTAAACTAAACTTGGGGAATATGTCGAGGACATGAACTAAATCATCTCTCCCGCCTGCAGCCAGTTACCAAGAACCTCCTTAAATCCAAAGCGTCCCCCAAACAAAATGCGTTGTTGCGCGTGTGTCCCAGCCGGCGTGTCCCGCGCCCACCCAGGCAGAGCATGCCCTTAATCTAAGCATCCAGTTAAAGGAGCCAACCCGATGCTGAATGATTGCAAGGGAACAAGCAGTCAGCTGGCTGGAACAATTCCCCGCCTCACTCCTTCCCGCTCGCTATAAATGCACGTATTTGTGGAGCTTCTGTGCCCCTTCGTCCCCAAATGAAAATGAGATTTGTCTCCTTTCGTTACATTGATACATTGTGTGTGTGTGTGTGTGTGTGTGTGTGTGTGTGTGTGTGTGTGTGTGTGTGTGTGTGTTACTGCGCGCACAGCAGCCTTAGTGAAATCTCTCTCTCTGATCCCAGATGGGTAATGATCTGGTCGCCTCCCGGGGCGTCCTCGTTCCCCTGCTCATTCCCCCGCAAGATAAATGAGCCCTCGCGCACGCACACCCGCTCTATCACACACACACACAGACATGAACACACACACGTACGGTGCCTGAGACGCTCTTTCCTTTCCAAGATAAATGGCCCCTCCAATGCCGCCAATGCGATTGCTGCCAAATTTGGTGCTCCAGCTGGAACAATGCGGAGAGATTTCCATGTGGTTTCTGCAAATAATTGAATCTGTCCTCAATTTGGAAGTGATGAAGCTAGATTTCTTCCCTCCTCTCTCTCTCACACACACACACACAGCTCTCGCTTCCCTTTCCCTCTGCTGCTTCTCTTTATTGTTGTCACTAAGCCACATTTCTCTTTCTCCCTTCTACTCTTTCCCCATTCTTCTTTTCTTCCTGTCCTTTGTCTCTATTTTTCTCAAGCACTTACATGACCCCCCCCCCACCCCTTCTCTTCCCTTTTGCCAAGTGAGACCCACACACCCAGATCGGTCTGAGACAGGAGAAATCAATAGTGACTTAAATGTTTTATCACAATGTGTCAGTGTATTTAAGGGCGCAGCAGAGAATAAAGCTCTAAAGGGATTTTCTACGCTTTCTTCACAACACCTGCATTTACACCTGAGCTGTATTCCCCTACCTGTAGGATGGAAATGCCTGACAGGATATTGTGTTTTTTGTATTTAATTGTTAGGTAATTTTATAATTTGCCATGTATTTGTGTCGCGAGATCCCAAAATGTGGATAGACAATAGATTAAGACAGGAGGCTGATTCAGATGGATGGCGGAGGTTTTCTGCTACACACAAACGCACTAATGAAATGAGCAACAGCACCACACGCGTCGGGGACAGAGCGCCAAACGGAGGCTCGGCCTTCTATCCGTCTCTGTCAGGCTCCGCCGCTCGCTCGTCGCCATAACGGCGAGCCAAAGCGCTGCTTCCTGACTCTTATAAAGCACAAAAAGAAAAGCTCCTGCGGAGGCGTGACTAAGTTGGGGTAGCAGTGCGTTTGCATGAACGGAAAGTGTACTAAAGCTTTGGTTCTGCAGGTTTTGGGGTCAGGACCCCCCCCCCCAGGCAGAGCCTCGCCCCACAGCGCACACAGGTGTGCAGTACATACCTGTAATAACGCAAAGGGATCTGCAGGCTGGTGCAGTGACGAGCAGGTGCGTTTAGACTTTGATGTAGAAGCAGGACTGCGTTGTGAGGTTTTTCAATTTCTACCCCATAATCTGATCTAAATTGCTTTTTTGTTTAGGAGATCAGGTGAAGAACACTTTGTTTTTGCGTGTTTGTTGTGTTGATGCTCATTTCACCACTGAGCGTTAATGGTGGACCAACGTGAGGAGGTCCACTTAGAACTCATTTCTAGAAGCAAAGGTCCGGAAGATGAGAATGTGTGCATGTCGTCATTTCTAAATCTCTTTTGACAATATTTATTGTCACGTAACAAAGAACTGAACATACAGTGCATCCGGAAAGAATTCACAGCGCTTCACTTTTTCCACATTTTGTTATGTTACAGCCTTATTCCAAAATGGATTAAATTCATTATTTTCCTCAACATTCTACACACAACAACCTATAATGACAAAGTGAAAACCGTTTTTTGCACAATTTTGAATACTTTCCAGATGCACTGTATACGTGCGACTGCAGATATAAATAATGTTCTCTCAATCAAATCATAGTAGGGCTGCATTTATAAATAATAATAAATCAATTAATGAAATGTGTAAATTTGTGCATGTTCAAATAAAGTGCTTAAAATCAGAAAAAATAACGGGAAGAAAAGATTGAATTTCCCCATTTCTGCTTCACACTTGGACTTGACAGTCTCAAAAAATTATAAATAATGAATCTACACAGTTGAAAAGAATATATATATATCTCCACGGCCCAACCTTTTTGGTAAGTGGGAGAATTAAGCTCTAGTTTTTCCTGCCAGGATCTTAAACCTGGTCTTAATGCATCAGGGCCGAGCTCCGTGGAGGAGCTCATTGCGCCTCATGACGCTGTTTCATCGGGTTCTAAACATATGAGGACTCTGGTTTCATCTGTCTTTTCTTCAGTCTTTTTATTTGTAATTTGCCGCTACCTCTCTCGTCTGTCTGCAGTATTGAGACGATATCGTCCTGCCTGGATTGAAAGAGCCGATTGGTCGAGTGGTATCATGTGGGATGGTTTAACTCGGATGCAATTGGTCGGTGCTTTAAGCCAATAACGTAAAGACGACCAAAGCTGCGCGGTTGAAAAGTGCACCGTCACGTTTAAACAGTCTTTTTTAGCTTTTGGTCCTGAAGGGACGGCTTCTGGGTCTGGATCCGGTCCGGCAGTTAGTGACCTCTGGCTCAGACAGACGATTTTCTCATGCCCGACATTTTAAGGTCGTAACCCAGATGAAGCGTTGGCTTCTTTCTGTACGTCTACATGACATGTTTTTCCAGCTCGGGTCCCACGGCGACCTCAATTTTATCAAATTTTGGCCGACCAGACCGAAGAGGTTGAAAAACCCTGAGCCAGCTTAAACCAGTGACTCCCACAAATAGCTTTAAGAGCTTAAACTCCAGCTCTTCCCCAGAGAGTTGTCTTTTCCTTCTCCTTTCTTCCCTCATTCAATCTTCCTTTTTCCTTTTCTTTTTATAGCATTGGCAAATTAAACCACTTTTCAAGTGTGTTGCTCAATAAAGCAGCTGTGCGCTGAATGCATATTCATGATGGGGAGGAGTAGATGATGGAGAGGAGCCAGTGTTGTTGAGAGAAGACAAGAACTTCTCTCTCTCTTCATGCTACAGATCTGAGTGACGGAGCGCTTTATTGCAGCTAATAAAAGGGAGCCAGAGCCTTGTTTTAGGGACGAGCCCCATCCGGTCCCCTAAGCTGGCAGGCTAATCAAGGCTGAATGTCTTTTTACAAGCCCGGGACTAATAAGAGGAAAGCGCTTTACAGTCCAGGAGTCCCCACCAGGTTCTTTATAGACCCAGGATGGTGATGGGGTCACGGGGGAGGAGAGAGAGCAGCTCTGACATATCTAACCATCATGTGAGGGACAATAGCTGCAAAACTGGAACCTCTGTTACAGACCACAGCCACCATCTCCCAAAACGAAATGATGCCACAATTAGGGCTAATTATCTCCATTTTTCTGTTATATTGCTTAGTCTATGTAAAAAAGAAGAAAAATCCCAACAGAAAATATTTTGATCTTAAGCCATTTGAGTTGTCTTTAAGACTAACTGCATGTCTTGTCTCCCACAACAACACATCCCCAGTGAGCAAACACAACTTGCTGTGTGAGTCTTCTGATGGACGGCCGGCTCGGCACGAGGATTTGCAAGACGGAGGCTCCCTTTGCTTTTATTATAGATGCTGATTCAGCCGCTTTGCGTAAAATCAAAGGTCTTATTCCATTATTTGTCCGTAACAGTTCAAATCCAGAAGACGATCAGTTGATGTAAAGAACAGCAGACCGTCTGAGATCAAATCTGTCGATTATCAGATTATCCGTCGTTCTTTTGATGGACACGCAGGCCGCAGCTCTAGCCGTTAGAAATGAAATGGAAGATAGCAAACTTGTCTCTTAACAGGAGAAACTCCTGCTTACTGTTTGAGGATACGGCAAATGAAGTTATATCCATGGCCACACACACTCAGCCACTTATCGTTCTATTCTGTCCTTCCCCATCCAGATCAATACCATATATCAGCAAGCTAGCAGGCTGCAAAATGAACACATCACACACACACGCACACACACTGATATTGTTGAGAGCGAGCGGATGTGATAATAAACACTGGCCGACTCGCTCCGCCAAATCATCATCATCACCGGCAGCGTTGGTGGTCTGCACGGCGGCCATATTGATTTAGTTATGTCTGCTTCATATGCTGTCGGACAGCGTTAAATGCACATTTTCTGGGGGGCGGGGGAGGGGACAGCGGGTGGGGTGGGGGAGGGGCGGGGTTAAGGACGCGAGGGGACATAGAGGTGAACGCGAGGAGGGGAAAACCGTTTGGTCGCTGGGTTTTTGAGTTCAATGAATCAGCCGACTTTCTTTTTTGTTTTTTAAACACCCGCATATCTCAGCATGGACACAGTTACACACTGTGCCAAATGTGCGCTGCAATCTCAAAGCTAAACCTCTGTCCCTGTGTCGTTTGTCCCCCCCCCCCCCCCCCCACCATAGAGTGACGGAGGACGAGTCCACGGCGACCACCATGGAGGCCCTGAAGGCCCGGATCAGAGAGCTGGAGAGGCAGATACTGAGAGGAGACCGATACAAGTGTCTAATTTGCATGGTGAGTACGCAGGAGCACAGCGCCACCTGTGGGAGGCTGCATCCGCCTTCTATCTGCTGCATGCCCCCGCACAACCGAGTGTCCCAGACGGCGCTGGAGAGCGTGTGAGGCAGGACGGTGCGTCACCTAAAGCCGCTGCTGGTTCCCATAAGCGTCCCAAAAATACAAACCCCATGTGCTACTGACACAGCAGAAGAGCATTTCAACGAGTCGTTGTTTTTGTTTCTTTTTCGTTCTCAAACCTGTTCTATCACCTCTCTGTGGGTACGTGGAGGCGGGTTGGGGGGGTCGCAGGGTCATCCGAGTATATAGAAGGATCCACAGCCCCTGTACAGAACCACAGTCGGTGTAGATGATCTCGAATAATTCTGGACACTTCTTCTTTTCACCTAAAATCCTGCTGTGAGTTTCGTTGTGGGTGGAGGTCCCACATGTTGTGAAGCGTCTTGTTTCTCCTTATTTGGCGTCTCGTGTGAACCGGTGTGAAAGTGTTGTTGACGTTTGCATGTCGGGAGCCGTCTGCGCCTCATCTCAAGTCGCTCGGTGTGCCGGTGGTCTTCTGCTCGTGCATGGCTTCTACGGCTCTCCCACAAAAAGCGCACGCGGTGCATTCGTTCATGTTTTGTGTTTTATTATTAAGAGATGTGGTAGAGGTTGGACAGGTGGTCCGACACTTGCGTCAGTAGTATCATCCATGGCGAAACCAGGCAGAGGGAGGATTGCTGTCGGTACTCGTGTTCCTCAGCTATACCCGTCCCCCCCCCACCGTCCCTCCCACCACACACACACACACACACACAAGGGCAGTTTGTGTTGCTAACTTTTTGTCAGGCTCCCATTCTGTCGTCCTCCAAGCGGCAGTGTCAAGCACCAAAGCAAGCAGGTTAAAAAAAAAGTAGATAATTATCGGCGCATCCTAAAGGTCGCCGGGTGCCCGAGGTGACACGGAGGGCAAGGTAGAGCCATCGATCACTTGCTGCCGCCCACCCCTACTCATCCGTCAATGTCCCTTGTCTCTCACTCACAATGTACGCACACACACACACACACATGTGTCTTACTTCTAATCCGTGTCTTTCTCTCCGAGTCCTCAAATTTATCCTCCGTGTTGCTTTGGTCTCTTTGGTGAAGTTATACCCCCATGAACTGGTCTTCTTTACTTCACAATATTGCCTTCTTTTCTAAAATAAAGAAACTATCCATGGATGTGAATGTTAGGTAACCAAGGAAGAGCTTCTTAAATCACAGCCTAGATACATTTGGGATTTAGGCTGTTGGTCCTGGGAAAAATCTCAAGGTGCCGATTGAAAATGGCACTTTGTGAGGAAGTTCTCATGTGTATTTAAATCAATAATCTAGAACATAAAGGACTGATTACCAGAAATAGTCATCTTTTGCAATTCTATCATGTGACCTTTTATCACAAATCCCCCCCCCCACACACACACACACACACACACACACACACACACTTCAGAGCAGAGTTGGCGTGTTTTGGGGGGGCGGCTGCTTTGGTTCCTCTACTGGTTTCCTATCGACCTCGAGCCTCTTCAGCGCCTCGTCTGCATTCATGCTCTTTGTTAGCTGGCGAGGTGAAGTCAGTGTGTTCATTGCTGTACTTGCTCCTGTGTGCGTGTGTGCGTATTGCACCGCGGCGTTTTTCTTGTGTGCGTAACCGGGACAAGCCGCGCCTTTATGATTGGCTGCCACCTTTCGCCCCGCCTCCCCCCCCCTCTCCTCACCCACCCCACCCATACCTCCCACACAGAGGGAGCCTGCAATCCAGTCAGGCGCGGAAATCAAGAGCCTAGGGGTGTGGCCTGGGCCCCGGCCACTGGCCCATGAGGTCAGAGAGAGGCAGCCTAAGTCCCTCCCCCTCGGCCTGTACTGCCTGTACAGAGGCCTTGTGATCGGTGGCTACGGCAGCGGCATAAAGAGGCTCCTTCTCACCGCCTCTACGGAGGGTAAGGAACTCTCTCCGCTCCTTCTTCTCCCTCCTCCCCCCTCCCTCATCTCCTCCGTTCTTTTCGAGAGGAAAAGAAGAAGAAGAGGGCGCCCATCGGATTGGGTTCACTCATGGATCGCTCCCTCATCCTCTCCTCCCTGTGCTTGCCTCACTCCGTCTTTGCTCGATGCCTGCCCAATACCGTGTCCGTCCGTCCGTCCGTGTGTGTCAAGTGACCTGCAGGTTACCGGTTCAGTTGCTCCTACCCGTCCCACCCATCCTACCCCACCCCACATGCTGCCCTGCTCAGTGGTTCTGTGGCTGCTGGCTGTGTCGTTTCGATGGTTAGTGGGTTGGCGCTGTCGGTCAGGGAACGTGCGGTGTTGTTTCGGTGGTTAGCTCGCATGTGTGTCTGTAAAATTTGGCGTAACTTCATCCTCCCCCTCCACCCCTCCCCATCTCTATCTCTTGGTTCCTAGGACTCCTACACGATGCCGCTCACCTCCATCCAGTGCTGGCACGTCCACTGCGAAGAATGCTGGCTCAGGACTCTGGTACGCACAAACTAAAATAAAACCCCTACACACACACACACACACACACTTCTCGGTGTGCTGCAGGGCTGCTCCTCACGACGTGCAGTTATTGCAGCCTCATTTCATAGTCTAGAGTTTCTCTCTGTAGACGTGTCCGTGGGGAGAAACCAACATGGAATATTCCTCATCTGACCTGCTCTCTTTCTCACACACACACACACACACACACACACAGACTTCCAGTTCTCAGCAGGGGTAAATGTCCCTAAAAGGGTTGTTAAAATGTTGGATTAAAATGGTCGACTCCCACCTCCTTCTACACTGTGCCTTGGGTCTACACACACACACACACACACACACACACACACACACACACACACACGCGGTGGTTTGGTTGGTTAATCTTAATGTATTCAGTCGTGTGTAATTAGCGGGTGCTAATGTGGTAAATGGAGCGCGCAGAGGGGAAAGAGGCTTCCTTTGGTTCCTCTGCTGTTGTCTCCTCCTTCATTAATTCCGTCGCTGTCGTTTCATTCTCTCACCTCAACGCACCGCCTCCTTTATTTGCTCTCCTATTCTGTGTCCTCTCCACAAACTCTCCCCTCTCACCCCAGTGACACCATCAGTTACAACGTAGTGATTACCAGTAAGAAGTTCGCTCCTTAAGCTCCTGCTGATCTGATACTAAATGTATTAATTTACTATTACAAACAAACAAAGCAGAGCGTTTGAGTGCAGCTTCCAGTAAAGTTAGTACCACGAGGGAGACACGTCTTGATGCAACAGAAAGTAAACAAGGGCCCCTTCCACACACGTGGCTGACACTCAGTATCAGGATAAGATATCCTGATAATACCCACAGTTTGACCTATGTAGGTCAAACTGAAAGTTTGGCAAAATCACCATAGCAACACTTCCAAAAACTTGAACCTGCAAACTAATTTAATTAATCTGCATAAGTTTGCCACTCCCCGGGAAAGAAATGCTCCCTTCCGCCAAGGTCACATCATTGACAAGTTGCATGATTTGCAGTTGGAAAAATAAAGTGACAAATTGCTACATATGTCATGTAAATATCCCAAAATGTTGTAATGACTATTATATTATGTCAGTGGTACTATGGAACTCGTTCCCATAGCAACGATACTAACCTTTGTCTCTCTGCCCATCGCAGGGGAACAAGAAGCTGTGCCCTCAGTGCAACACCATCACTTCACCCGGGGACCTAAGGCGCGTCTACTTGTAAAGAGCACACTTACCCCCCCCCCCCCCCCTCCTCTCCGAGGGCCATTCCTCCGCATTCCTCTTTTCAATCCCGATTTTATGGGAACCCCCCCCCTCCACCCCAAGAAAGAACACGGAACCGGGGTCCCTCTTTAGAATCCCTTGGCTCCGTCTCCGGCTTTTGTTTTTTCGGGGGGGTCCAAACGGTTGAAGAGTAAAAAATGGGTGGAGCTCCACACTCTTCCAATGGGAAGTCGGGCTCCGCGCCCCAAAGAAAAAAATAAGAAAAGATTAGAAGTGGGACCACTGGCAGCCTCGCAGATATACATGTAACACGGAGGGAATCAGCTACTGGAGGACTTTTAAGTCAGTGGAGAACCTCCCCCCCCCCCGTCCCCCTCCCCAATACCCAGCTAATGCCCTGCTGAGATCTCGTAGCTTCCTGCTGCCGGAGCTCGACCTGAAAGGAACTTCTTAATACAGAATGGCTCTTCTTCAACATTTTGACGGTGCTGGACAACAAGCTCCACCTGAAGGACTCAGCAGGAAACTTGTTGTTGTTGTTCTGCAGCTTAGAGGGACAGGAAGCTCTGATCTTCATGCCCCGTGTCGCTTAAGAGAATAAAAAAGGGCCTGTCCACTAAAACCGAGCTTTCAACCAAACTGAGAATAACCACACAACTTTGAAAAGGGAGTTTCACTCCTCCACCACCTCTTCTTCTTCTTCTCTCCTCCTTTTGTGGTGTTCTAGTGAAGTAAACCAAAATTTCTCCCCCTCCAAGATACAGTGCAAGCACATGTAATATAGTTCTATGTATGTTTACAATGTTGGATGTAAATGACATAGAGATCACGTACACCTACGAAGACACACACACACACACACACTCATGCATATACATACAGAAGTATATAATATCAAAGTCCTGTTGTAAGTTGGAAGGGCCTGGGAAATGTGTTTGGGACGGGAAAAAATGGCTTGAATAAAATAAGCCTTCTGTATTTTTAAGAAGAAAAAAAAGATCATTTGAAGATCAGTTATTTCACTGTACAGGAATAAAAGATGTAAGTAATAAAAAACTACTCGAGACTAGACGGTCCAGATTTAGGTGGTGTAATTTTTTTCTGCAGAGGTATACTAAAAAAAGGTAAGAATGATGCTGATCTGTTTTATTGAAAGGAGAGATTCCCATCGGCCAAGATTTACTATGGACAAGCTTCTTCTTTTCACCTCCTCAGGAGGAGTAACACCACCCTCAGATCCCAGTCTACAAACGTTCTGTTCTCACCCCCGTCATGTCTCAGAAGCGAGCCTTGTCCATTGTTTTTCTCATACTGCTGAAATGCTGTGGAAAGGTCTCCAAAGATAGCAACTCCTGAAGGGAAGGTTCTCGGATGAGGGAGCTCTCTGGATAAGAAGGACGGGCTGCGACTGAACTGGCAACTTCAGCAAACCCCGCAGCATTGACCCCCCCCCCCCCCTACGGCAGCAGCTGCAGCAGCAACCACGGTGGTGGTGCTTTGTGTTTGTAAAACTATGTATTCTGTGATGTCTGTATTGTTGTAAGAAATGCTGAAAAAAAATGAAAAAATAAAACTTCTCAAATACCGCGAGTGTTCTGGTGCGCGCGCACTCACCGAGTGAGTGGCTGTCAAAATAAGAGGAATGTTGCTGTGTTCACTGTAATAAAGCTGAGGAAGGTGGCCTTAATGTAGAAGACCCCTATTCCGTCCATGTGCAATTTGATAGTTTGTGTTTTGTGTGTCATTTGTCTGAAAAGGCGCGTTTCGTGTCACATGAAATACAAACACTCGGATCCGCATCCGGGCCCGTTCACCCGCCCCGTCGCGCGGCCCTGATGCGCGGCCCGCGGCAGCAGGTGGTGACGTTACCGCAACGTCCTGGAAGTGTACCCGAGTTGTCTCATAAGTAAGTAATTTAAGCTGGACTTTTTCGTATGTTATCTATCTAATGCTTACCGCAAAATAAAATGAAATATGACAGGACTTTAGCTCCTTTAGCTTAGCTTAACATTCCGCTCGCAGTTAGCATGTTCGCACTAAAAAAATACTACCAAATATAACGTAGACGTTTATGAATATACGTTAATACATCTTTTTACCCTCACATTGGCAAAGTACCGTGACGAGTAGCTCAATGAGACTTGCGCGTGGCCTGTGTGCGCGTGCGTGTGACCTGGTTGGCCTTCCTCCAATAGAGAAACTTGACGATCACAGCTGCGCCTCGTTGGGGCGCGCGGACACGCCGGCTGCCATGACGTCACGCTAGAGTCTCGGGCGACTCACGTACGGAATCACCGGACTCCTAAAGGGCCCCAAGCAGCTGTTTGATTCTGTTACAATTGTGATTTATTAATACCTGAAAAGCGTTTATCCCTCCGCCCGCGGCCCTGCAGCTTCCACATGTGCAACATTCCACTTGACAAAGTAGTTCCTCGCATTGACAAAACCACCACGTTGATAAAAGCAGAGCCTGGATTTAATGAGTGGAGGTATGTTGGTCAAGTTCTGCGTCGAAATGGCAAGTGTACACAATTAGAGGTGTTATAGGCTCATGCAACATTTTATGAATATATTCTAACAGGCTGGAGTCACTTATGATTCCAATCATCAAAGAGTGTATTCAGTAATACGTTAGGAGTCACTAATGCAAGTAGAATATGTGCTGTAGTTTTAATAATTAAAATCATCACAACTGTTTTCCCTACAGAGCAGTGTGTGTGCGCTTGACACAAACTACATATTGATTCAGCCACCTTACTTACTGGATGGATGAAGACAATACGTGGCCAGTTCAGAGTGTGTGATTGTGTGTGTGTGTGTGCACGTCTGTTGTGTTTTGTGCCCGAGGTACGAGGACATCAATCCAAGAGGCGCCTGCAGAAAGCGGCAGGAAATTGAACGAGTTGATAGAAGAACCCCCTGAAGGCTGCTTCAGAGTCATTAAGGCCATTTAGCCCCTCAGCTCGCTCCACCCAAAACCACAGGCACAAGATGATAAGTCCTTTGTGCGTATTCTATTGTATGCTTTAGATGAGCGAAAACGGGACTATTGTTACATAGTACAAAGTTTGGAAATGGGAAAGGGAGCGGGTGCAATAAATGAGACATTTTTGAGACAAAATGTTTGACAAATATTATTGGCATTTTAAAGTTATTGAAAATAATGGCAGGACGCTTTTGTAAAAAAAAAATGAACATTGACAGCAAGCCAGTGGTATGCAAACTCCCTGTTGAGGTACGTGTATTTTCATTCTGAGCAATTGTATACTTTCTCCTCAATTCATTTGAAATGTTGCTGATTATACTTGACTACTTAATAGAAGTAACATGTTGAGTACTTTAACCATTTGTACCTTGGGGCATTGTTACAAGTGAAGACTTTTATTTACAATAATCAATATCATTACTCATATCAATATTAGGAAACAACCATTGTATGAGTAATTCTATTGATCATTTATTTCCTCCTTGTAGCCCTGAGACGATTATGAGGGTTTGGTTCTGTGTTCGAGGCTCTCGTGGAGACATTTCCAGCCCTTTATGAACCCTTTCTGTTAGATGGCATTGAGTGCCGACCTTTCACAAGAGAATTACCCACAAGTCATCACGGGATTACATGGAGATGTAAAAAAAGACGCTTAAGAGTTTAATGTGTGTTAAGTTTGGACTATTAGATTGACACAGAAGCATCAAAGATTGATAGATAGTTTCTTCAATTGTACGTCTTAGTTTTGCATTGTCGTGGTGACAGGGTATGCTGCAGGGCGAGGGGGGGGCAAACCTGTCGTCCTGCAGGGACAATAACCTTCCACAGAGTGGCAGTGTTGGATAGCAAACAGACTCCCAGCGTCTCATAGATAAAAACAGTTATATCTTTATTAGATACAAATACGTGATATTTCCCATTAACATGTTAGTTTGGGTGAGTGGGGAGCACGGTCGTCCTCCAATCAGAGGGTTGTCGGTTCGATCCCAGGCTCTGCTAACCCGCATGTCGTTGTGTCCTTGGGCAAGACACTTAACCCAACATTGCTCCTGTAGCTGCGACTACAGTGTGTGAATGGTAGTTACTGATGGCAGGTGTCACTGTGTATGGTTCTCCTGTCATCAGTGTATGAATGGGTGTGAATGGGTGAATGATGTCATGTAGTGTTAAAGCGCTTTGAGTGGTCAGAAGACTAGAAAAGCGCTATGCAAGTACAGTCCATTTACCATTTACCATTTTCTACTAAGAAATGTACTAGGTTATTCAAGATCAGTGATATGCAGATCAACGAGTGCTTGAAGTCAAGCTGTCAGACGTTGATACATTTCTGCTGAAGCTGAAAGTAGGAATACGAGTATCCGACAAACGTGGACAAAAAGGAGCCGGCTTATTCTCATCGGTTTTCATTGTGCTCCTCCTGCCCCTTCAACAACAACTCTTTTCATCTGGGCAAGCCCCCGGGGAGAGCACACTGCCCCACTGTGTGTGTGTGTGTGTGTGTGTGTGTGTGCTTGAGTGAAGTAGGAAAAGAGGGGGGGGGGGGTCCTCCAGGTCTTGCCACAGGTTCCCATATCTTGAAAGGGAGATGACAACATGAGATACTGGTGAAAAGCAGTAACAGTGGTTTGTGGAACACTAGTATGTGAGTGTTGAGGGTCTCCTCCCTCCTGACCCCCCCCGGCACTAGCAGAGTGCAGACGTTGTCCTCAGACCTCATTCTTCTGTGGGACGGACGTCCCCAATTTTACAGATATGGGTAGTCCCATCGTGAGCCGTACAGGAGCAGACCCCCGTTGTGTCCACGGAGGTGTGAGGGGGGGGGGGGGCAGGTAGCGTGTGCACGGTGTTGTGAAGCATGGCCAATAATCACCTGTCCTTTACAGTCATTTCATGTAATAATACTTTTCCTTTTCACAGGATCGTACCATGATGAAATCATACGTTGGGATACAGTGATGAACAACTATTTTTGTCTAAATAACAAGTATTAACTAAACTAAAATTTCTCCAAAAATCTGATAACAATTCTGCTGTGGGATTACATGTAGTT